AATGATAATATTAAATTCAATGGGCAATTTGTCTTTCACAATTTAATTACTTCTTCAGCAGCAAGAATTCCAGACATTTTGACGCCATAAACCGCTACACAATTAGTCAAAATACGGAAAAAAAGTCTATGAGACAAACCCCCAAATTCTCCATGACCAATAATATCTCCAAGATGTATTTCGTTTTGATTGATAATCAATGAGGCTTCACGGAAGAGTCGTGTCCGCTCTTCCAAAGATTCATTGTCTCTTGTAATTCGATAATTATCGTTGATTACTGGTGTTATAAGGCGATGACATAGGCCATCTGCGTCTCGTTTGTAATGCTGGAAGTGTGTGAAATTCTGCAGGAACCAAGTCGAGAAAAACGAGTTTGCAACAAAGCGACTCATTGGAGCACAGCAGACTACCAACAAGCGGACGACTATCTTTCAGAAAAAATTATCTGATGGCTCACCGCTATCAGCTGTGTCAAATTATCAAAATTTTCTTCGTGATCACATGTCAGGATGCCATTCAGTTGATAGATCCTGCAAATTATCACGTCATAATCACCAGTGGTTTTCTGTAGTGAGAAAAAATTATTCTTTAAAAGCACCTAACATCCCTACCATCGAATATATCCACTAATACCACTTTAATATCCTTCATTCTGATATGTAAAAAGATACCTATAATGTTCCACCTTGCCACTAAAAGCCATGCACAATGTATAGTCGCCTGGAAAATTGGTAGAATCACGCACAAGAAATGTTCCATCAGCTTGTCCGGATAATATCCTAGAAAAAGAAAGTGTAACAGGGTAGTGAAGACAAAACATGTTTCATAGAAAGAGGTCGAATAAGGAGTATTCGCTTTATTCTAAAAAATTTCCTTCTAAACAAGTTAAGAAGCAGTTCGACAATTTGTTAACAACACATCCAATCTTTCCAAGAAACAGCTAACTTTTCTGTATGTTCACGCGTGATATTCCCATGATACCAGGGCTTCGGGTGCTGCTCGTTTTTGGCCACATATCGCCTATCTACACAACTAACTACACTGGTCTGCTTTCCATTCGTGTTTCCCCCATTCTGAAGAATATATTACCACCCATAACTAACACTGGCAAAGCCATAGTTAGATACCATTTATGATCAAATATTGCATCTTTTCTCAATGATTACACTGTCTCAGCAATATCTGTACATTCGCATCCTAATATATCTCGACAATATGTTGTACTGTTAATGTCGGGATAATTTTTTCTAAAAATTTCTAGTTCTTTTACGACCCACTTTTTAGTTAGTGCAATCAGAACTCGTGATGTAACTTCTTTGCTGTTCGATTTTGAAGTAGTAAGTAAAAGATGTGAAATAACACAAGTAGAATGCGTAAGTAAATGATTTGATAAAGAAAAAGTTACGAGAATGGAAACTGTTAGCCATACACTGTCGTCTTTTCGACAGATGTTATCATTCATCAGTGCATAAGTAAATGATTTGATAAAGAAAAACTTACGGGAATGGAAACTGCTAGCCGTACATTGTCGTCTTCTCGATAGATGTTATCATTCATCAGTTAGAAGAAATACAATGATGATATCGAAAATAATAATCCTGTCTCTCGCCTCCCTCTTTGTCCTGAAAAATAAATCCTAACATAACTGAAATAGAACAATAGGGAACAGAACAGGTGTCGACGATTACGTCTCTGGAGGACATCTGAGAAAATGCGGAGCGGGATAATAACGTAAAGGTTAAAAAAGGAAGAGTAAGCAACGTCACGTTCCACATTTCTATCTTCGGACGGACGGGGGGATGGGCAACCTGAACAGAACGATAGTGATACTTCCGTTGACCCAACTGTCATCGGAGTGATCAGAATGGAGGAATAAATGAAATAGCTTTTGTACGGTGACAGCAGTCGAGAGAGATGCAGAGAGTACACTCAGCTCTGCGGTCCGCAGGTTGGGTGGGTATACCCTGGTTTGTAATAACTTGAAATATATCCCACTCCTCTCCTGCAAATGAGTTGGTGAAAGGCGAGGAGGGAGATGGAAAGCGGGACTAGGAGAATCAACACACTGGATGATAACTCGAATAGGAGACAGGCATGCTTACATGAACCAAAATGAATGCAAAAGGTGAACATTCTTTCGGATACAAACAGTACTCCAGATCAACATGAAGAGCAGCTCGAGCTATGGAGAAGAATGGAGTACTTAAGGAGGGAAGCCGAAAAAATGAAAACATCCCGTATCATCTGCAAATAAAAATCCTAAAACACTACGAACAATATGATAGTGCTGGCACCGTTGATGATTACACGTAAAAGGAAACCACAACATCCAGCCATTCATTTCTCGTTCATACTACGTGAACTATTCCGAAAAGTAACTTTCCATTTCAATATATTATGAGGGAAATAAGTCACCTTGGTGTTGTGTAGTCAGTAAGCAGATGGGAGAGACTCACATATTTCGGTGAAGTCAAAGTATCACACTCACATCATTCTGTGATTGACCCGAAACAAAGGTCAAGTTCACTCTATAACTTCTGTGTTGGCTAGATCACATAATATTGCAAGTTCAACAACTTTCACGGCGAAATGCATCCTCGTTACTATCCGATTCCAGAAAGGATAAACACAGCACCACCATTCACAACAAAACAAAAAGATACAATACAAGATGATCCAGCGAAACTTGGTTTGATTCTAACTGAAGTTGCATTTGTTTTTATAAAGCTTGCGCAGGACAGTTTAAGTTTCTAAGGGGTAGTAATGGAAGCGATACCATTTTTGGTTGGAATGTAATATATGTTCAATGGACATACGTGATACGTGAAAGGTCCACAATCACCCAACAACGCATAATGTTCCGCGAACAATACTGCAAACCAAACCGTAGATGGATAGTTCGCATATAGCTGCCTTTAAGAAAATAATGGAGGTGGCATACAGATTAAAAGTACTCGGTGTTTGAGGATGATGTACCGTACCATTGCAGTGTCATGTTACTGTCGCAACTGCTCACCAATACCCACTGGTGTATTCTCGACATTAACGTAAATCAGGCACATTGCGCCTTCTTTGTTGTTTCCTGTATGGAGTACTTCTTCACATTCTCTGAATATTCGCATGTACTTATGGCTTCTCCCGGACACATTCAAATTCTGGATCACCGTTACAACATTTCATGTCTATTGGCTCGAAGTGGATGTAAACATCAGAAATCTTTTCGACCCCGATTAGTCCCAACTAACAGCTAAATTTCTTCGCAAAGTCAAGTTGTATACCACAAACAGAACATCCCTCGTTACTGTTCCACACTGATTACGCATGCTGTTCCGGTGGTCATTACTTCTAACTTTTGTTGTTCCTTTTCCAAGTGACATGAAATTCATATCGTGGCAAAATGACCGTTTTGATATTTTTTGTCATCTCAGCAAAGTGTTCGCTCGATTTGGAATACGCAAACTCTAATTTCGAACAATATCCGTTTTTTGCCAGTCGTACGCCAGTGAACTTCAGAATTCCTGCTTATTTAACCTATTATCAGTTCACCACCTTTCTAACTCCGGTCCAGTGTGAATCCGAACACTCTGTGGATGTCTTCAAGGGGCTGTAAACGTAATGGAAATATTGCTGAAAATATCCACACCGTTTGCACTGATTCGTTACTTTTTTATTCAGTTGTTTTCACATTTATCCTAGTGAAATTTACTTAAACCTCTTCCTTATTTACAATAATTGTTCGGAAGTCATTTGTCAGGTCAATATCATTAAATCATCCTATCAACTATTCACAACGCAAAACAGTGGTTGTATGCCTTAATCAAGGACGCAGAGGTAACTGTGACACGATGAACGAAACGGCTGGGTCCAGAAGAGAAAAAGTTATGTAAATGAAGCTATGGCAAGTAATTTTATCCAACATTAGGCGATATCTGTTTGGTTTACTGGGTACAAAAAAAAAAAGGCCGATGAAATAGATCAGGATGATTCAACGACGCGATTGAAATTAGCTCTTAACAACGACTGAGGAACTAAATTTTAATTTAGTTCAAAAGACAAGGATTAATTTTTGCAGAATATTAACGAAAATCAAACTTCGTGTACTTTTTTAATATGTTATTTAGTAGTCAGATTTTTACTTGTCGTACTTTGCTCTTGCTCAAATAACTGCTGTCTAGTTTGCAATCCCATGGCTTTTGATATGAACATAAACCGAGTAATTCTTCCACTCGTTCATTCTTTGATTTTATCCTTGATGGTGATGTGTTTTATTTGCTAACAAAGCTAAGTATTTTACCTTCTTCTTCACATAAATAATATTCGCAACCGCTTTACAGTTCGTCTGTGCACGTTGAACTTCAATGTCTTCAGTGTCAACAAGGGGAATTGGGGTAAGGCAGGAGGGAACAGGACGGTGTTGCTATGAAATTGAAAGCAACAAGTTCGTTAAGAACTAAGTTGTTGACTGTCTACCAGATATGTGCATAGGATTGCCTTGAAACGATCAGTATATTAGGCATATTGGGAGTTTCTATGTTAGACTAAGAGAAGTGTAGGGATAGGTTCTGAAATGTGTGTGACATGATGGTAATCATATCTATGTTGTTCTACTGCATTCCACCTATATCGTCTAAAATCTTCGGAGATTTCTGTAACAAATTAGAAGTTTTTAATACTCCGAAATGTACTCACGCAGCTGTTGCGAACCGTTCAGCAGTTATTTATGTGTTGGTCGACGATTGTTGATTTCTTACACTAAGTCTAAAGCAAGACTAATGCTTAGCCGAAAATTCAGCTATGGTGGGTCGCGCTGATGAAGAATGAATTTGCTATTACTGCTGTTGCTAGTTGTAACTTTGCTGCAAAGCAAATCATCTGCATCAGGAGGAAGGAGGAAGATTTGTCTTTTCTATGATTCGGTCTATTCAACTTCTTTGGTTTCTTTTTTACATCTTCGGTTCGTTAAAACTTTAAACTTTTTTCTCACAAAAAGCTAACAATTTTATTATCTAAGTCTACCAGACGATCGAAACAAGTAGAACTGCTAAATCTGCCACGATATTACGACGGTATTACCGCGTGTCATCAAAATGGTTACAGAAAAGGAAACCGATGATCTGCTTGTTTAATACAGTTATGAACGAGTGGTGTCCAAATTTTGTCCTCGTGATGTTTTTTAAATTTCTTTTTAACTTGGACTTTTGGTTTACTTGTTAAATGACATCTGTCGTTTCTTCCAAGAGACCTATCTACTACAACTTAAAGAAATTTATAATTCTCCAGAAAAAATTTTTATCAGTAGGAAGTAACTGGAATTTTCCCATAAAATGTCCAAAAAACACTACGCTGTCTAAACATTTCATGAAAATATTCCAATTATTTTGCCAATAATGAAAATAGTTCACAACGGGGAACTTCTCATTAAATACTCCCCTCATTAGTTTGATTCTGGAAATAAAAATTTTAAAACAGTAAAGACAATACAGTTTCCGCCGTTTATTCCATTTTTCCCGTTTTCGTTTAATCCTGTTGATTATTCGTTTCATTGCTGCTGAAAACCAAACAGTTACTGTAGCAGGATGAAGACAGAATGATCAATAGAGCAAAGATTTCAAATAAAATTAAGCCTTAACCTAAAATGGTTTTAGGTATGAGTGATGAATCACTGTTTGGTATGAGTTGTGAGGAATATCGAGATCAGTTATCCGAATGGTCTCAATGCATCATACCACACGGCGATCTGGCTGATGCAATCACCCTCTTTCTGAGAAGTATTAAGAATTTTGGATGCAAAGTTAGTCGATTTAGAAACATTATGTCTCAGCACCCATTATGGCGTATCCTCTGGTGGTGGCGGTCCAGAATGACTGAAAAGATTGCAAAAGTTCAATTATTTATTAGTTGTCAATTGTTAAATCGTTCATTTCAACGATCTGTGATTGTATCTCTCTTTGATCACCTGATCCTAACGGTCAGTTTACGGAGGTATTTTAGCACCGTACAACTTTTGTCACGATGAGATTATCGGGTCAAGTTATTTGGAAGATTCGATTGTTTGGATATTTCGAGAGTACAAATTAAAAGGAACAAGTTTTAAAAAATTCGTTTACAGCTTCCACCCAAAAAAGTAATCAAATTTGGGCTCAACTTTTTGCGTAACAATTCGAACAGCTACTTGGAACATCCACTTTATAAGCGCATTACTACTCAAAACTGTGGCAAATGCAGCCGAAGAATTAGATGTTGCAAGTTGGCATTTTCTCATACAATTCTACAGAGGAATAGGGCCTAGCTCAAGCCAACAAACATCAGAATGTATCTAAATATTCGGATTACTCACTTTTAAAGAAATTTTAAGGAATTCTGTAAATCGGATAATTTTACAGGAGGTCAAAATCATTCCTAGCTCAAGCTTATGAGTCAGAAGCGTGCACTGGATCCGATGTTGCTTGTTTGTTCAACCCGCTTTCAGCCAGCGATTTACGAGAGCTCACGGTTTTTTTTTTACCATACTACATTGATTTTATCAAATTAGTATAGCTAATCCAACATTTCCCCACCATTTTATTATAATGTATACTTCTCAAACTGTATACTTCTACAAATATTTTTTATGCGATCAATTTGCATTTCTAGCTTTTCCGGAAGAAAGGCTTTTTTTTTTTTATAGGACTAAATCCTGAGTTTAGCATGTAACAATGTAACAAGATGGATGCGAAACTTTTGATATGAGACCAAACTTTGTTGGCAAGGCACGGAATTCGTGAAATGCGCTTGATGGATATTATGTTGATTCAGGAAAGATATCCGAATATAGTTCCATCGCAGGATGGATGTGATGTATCAGGTTATGTGGCTGCTGAACTGATAACACTAAGCAAAGGACCGACGTATCAGTATGTGGAACCATTGCTATGTCAGATACTAGGTACCAGAATACCCGCTGTAAACTGTGTACTACACGGTGATAAATGCCATTGTTGTTGCTTCTCATACACTCCCCAACCGGATGGTTATTGTCACTTAAGTAGCAATACATCATCCTCATGTCCTTCCTATTCATAATGCTATTTTTAAGCACAAGGTGACACTACGCAGTGGCCTTCATTAAGTGCGTTAGTTATTTCTTTCCTGCTATAACAGCAGAAGTCTTTTAATACCAATTTTCATCTTATAAAAAATAAGGTACTTTGATGCTCCTTCTCACAGATGACGTCACCATACAGAATTTGGATTAGATTAAGTGTACGTTACTGCTTGTATCTGGAATCTTAGATAAATGCGAAGTTTGAAGTATCTCTGTCCCAGTCGTCCTCCTTCTGAACACAATTTACATAGGTAACAATATCAATACTAATACTTAAACAAAGATGACTCTAAATGAATATATAAAATTACATGTTTCCAGTGAAATAGGCCTAATGCGCCTAATCGCTGGTAATGTTTTATGGACAACGCTCACTGCTTTAATCATAAATTATAACCACAGTCCTCACCAATCAGGTAAAGTTGTCAGAAAATTAGCAAATATATCTTACTACTTCCTCCTCTCCCTAAATGTTGCTGTAAGTTTGAATATTGTTTTCGAATAAATTAATAACTACGAATTCTTCGTGTGTAGCACGGACAAATACAATACTGCGAACTGGAAGTTTCTAATTCAATCCACCTTTTTTTTTTTTTTTTTAATAAAGTACTAAAACAAGGCAACTATGCAAAGTAATGGACATGAGAATATGTAAAATCGATGAGCCTGAACTTCAAAACTGCAGAACCCGCAACAAAGTTTAAAATAACTAGTAACTATAAAACAATGAATGCACTCTAACGTAAACGTAACAAATCTAAAGCTGTCAATATTACTGACCAAAACAGACAACAAAAAAGAAGTCTCAAAGAAAGCCTGTGCAAAACAGACAGCACTGATAGAATATTTGAAAAGTATATTTTCCGCGAGCTACATCTATGATGACGTTCGCGACTAGTAATTTAAAGAAAGAGCAGAGTAACTAAAAAGTTAACATTATAAAATGCTGGAATTATACCCGTTATAAGACCTGAATTACATACCGGAAAACTTTTCGAAAATAAATTCATAATCACTGAGATTAGCTTCAGATTACTTTCAGTTACTTTTACTACTGAGAACGGCAGGATGGAATAAAACGGACCCGCTGGAGATTCCGCTGGTTTCTCAGAAATAAGCCTAAAAATGATCTGAAATGGGAAGCATTAACTACATATGCTTCAACACGAAATTTTTAGATTACCAGTTCTTCGGTATGGAAAAATGCAACCAACAATGAAAAATAAAGACAAATGAAGACGGATGATAAATAATTGGATACATTAAGTCGCCGTACGGACAAAAAAAAAAGTCTCAGGAATTTCAAAGACCAAACCATCGTCCCTAAGCACCATACTTCTGGACAACTACTAGCAACAACAGTGCACGCATACACGTTAGCATGTCGAATTAATCCCCTGCTCGATTATGACTCCATCAGCTACTCTATTGTCGTTGGGAATAGTTACCGGATCATTCACATCAAATGCTGGCGAAGCGAAAACAATATGAATCCCAGGATATTTCGTACGCTGAAACACTCATACATAAGCTCAGGGAATTGATTCAATTATTAGACCCTTGTTATTACATTGCCTACAAAGTAATGCAAAGGCGAAAACATCACTTCAGTATTACAGGCAAATTGATGATCGAATGAACAGCTTACACTGCTTTCTGCGACTTTTAACGCAGCAAAATGTATTTCTTTACGGGAAAGATAATAGCGACACTGACATACAGCCTTTAACATGAAACCTTGAAATAATATTATAATAAGCAACATAATGATCGAAAATAGGTAAATAACGTTTGATTCCGCCTTGAAAGAATAATCAAGTGATGGAGATTGTATATGCAGCATATGAATACTGAAAATGACACCATTAGAAAAAAAAAGTTTTTTAAGTGAAAGGTTCCAACTGATGGTCTTCGGTCCAGTATTATAACCAAGACTGTAAAACGTTGCCGGAAAGCGAAAGTTTCACGTACAGCAATCCCGAGCTCAGATGAAGATGATATAAAAACAAGGAAAAGTTAGTAGTAATGGTTTATTTTAGATCAAAAAAAAAATCTCGTTGTCTTTAACCAGACGATCGAGATCAAATTTTAAAACTTGAACTATTTCAACCTTCCCATGCTTTCATCTTATTAAACTTTCATATGCGATTATTTTTAAGCCGGCGGTAGCTACATTATAGATCGAATTGTCTAGAAAAAGAAACTTACAAAGTAAATAAGACTTCAATGTCGATTGCAACAATGTATGACACAATAAATGGTAAAAGATAATGAGGAGCCTGCTTCTTGATGCCAGCGATTACTTGATAATGAACAAGTGTGCCGATTCCAAGGTACAAGAAAGAAAGGCTAAAGAAACAGGACTAGAATACTCAAAATCGAGTAGTCATGTAAATCAAATGGATA